GTGGGTGGGTGTGTGGGGGTGGGTGTGCGTGCGTATGCGTGTGTATATACAAGTCAACATAATATATATCTGTAGGTACATCTTATATACACATATTTCACGTTGCACCCTTCATACATGATGATCTCTGCTGGGAACACTCGCTAAGATCAGGTTGCGGTTGCCTGCTAGTTATGCGATTCTCGTCTGTTTTTGTGCTGCCTTGCTCAGCAGCCCAGTCTACTTGACTTAGTGTAGCCTTGCTTCGCCCAGCCTTCTGTTGTGGCGCGATGTCATCGTCGGAGGGCGATCAGACGACACCGCCTCGCAAGTCAGGCAAGCGCGCAGCAGCAGTAGCCGCTCTTGACGACTCCCCAGACTCCTACAAGGACTGCTTCTCCCCCAATTAACGATCGAACCCGGAGCTTGTGCATATCCTTGCAGTCTGGAGCCTCGCCATTGCCATAGGCTCCATTGTGGTTCCTTTTTGCGATTACCTTATAGAATCTTATAAATATTATAGTTATAAACCACAAAAAGGAACCACAGTGGAGCCTATGGGTATGCATGAAAAGCCACGCCCAAACCCAGATAACTTAGCGTGCAGGACGTGTTCTGCACCCCGCCAAAGAACATGCAGCAGGTGCTGGTGGGGTTAGAGGCCCTGAGTATCCGTGATCATGACTCTTCAAGTTCATCGGTGCCGAGCAACAAGCAGACCGGCCCGCAGCAAGAAGTCGTAACCACCCCGGAGACAAGAAAGGGCCCTCCACCAACTCCGAAGAGGCCGACGAAGAAGCGACGCGTCACTTATACCGAACTGGGAAGCTCGCCATGCGGCAAAGATGCTACCATCAAGTCTTGAAGGGCGCAGCCAGGAGCCAGAAGCTGTTCCTGGCCACAAGGAGAGTGCCGATTGCCGATTCAGGCAGAAGTCTCACACGTGGGGGCAAGCACGGCTTGAATCGGGCTTCTGGGGGACAAAACATGAGAGCACGCTCTTGGCTTCGTGCTGCTGTCATAATTCTAGAGCAGGGAAACTCATGGTCTTACATCAAACCCGGAACAGCATCCGTCGCTCCCAAAGAGTATAAAAAGGTAGTGTAACCGACCGACTAGGCAGCTTTGGATAACTTCCGGTTTAAGGCTTGGGACTTCTTGACCCTCGACTAAATAAACCTCAAAACAGGGAAGCACATCTAAATCTTCTGAAATCCACGTGTTGAATTCTCCTCCTCCTCCTCCTCTTTGTTTTGCTGAGGCCAAACAGAAGCATTGGTTCGGATCCCTGGCGGCCGTCTACGGAGTGGCCCTGCATTGGTCCCTCAACAAGAAACTCCTCGACTACGTCAGGGACAATCACGACATCGACGACGGCGTACAGGATGATGCTCCTCAGCTGCAAACGTGTGAGAGGTGGCGTCGTACATTCAGTGAATTGAGCCTGCTGGTAGTACGACCACGAGTAGTACAGACTGTCCACTTGCATCTGCGGAACCGTGCCAGGTTATTGTTAGGGGGTTCTTCAAATAAGGGGGGTAGTCTAGTGGGTCGGGTTGAGGATAAGATGGGGTGCGGATGGGGCGGGGCTGGCTTTATAATAAATCAATTAAATAGTCTGCCATGACAGGAAGATGACGACATGGGTGAGGCCGAAGACGGGGAAGCAGACAACCAGCACCATGAACGGCCCAAGAGTAAGGAGGAGCTGGCGAAGCTGAGGGAGCGCTACGCCAACAACCAGGCAATGGCACATGCTTTCTACGGTGATCCCATCCTGCAGACTGAGCTGAAGATCTTGTACTTGGGGGCCCGCCCTGTCACCAAGGCGTACCAGGACACGATCGAGACACAAAAGCAGGGACAGGCCAAGTCCACATCTAGTTGATTATTAGTTGGATAATAGTAGACTTGTGTCGCATGTAGACATGGCACCCTAAACCCTAAACCCTAAACCCTAAACCCATCTAGTCTGGAAGGGGAGGGGGTGGCGGGGGGGGGGGTGGGGGGGGGCAGGTTGAAACCCTCAGATGGCGAGCCGCCCGGGCAATGTTCGCCTGGTACGGCACTGTCAAGGATCTCATTCATCAAGTTCATGACACGGATGTCTTGGACAAGTTGTGCATGACGCTGCAGCACCTCGGCAGTCAGCCAGCGGTGGGGGACATGGGGCCATCAGCGCAGGAGCAGTATGACGCGCTGCAAACCCTGCGGTCCTACACCCTGGAACTGGCAGCATGTCACGCGTGGAATCACGCGATCTACACAGTATGTTTGCCATATCTGTTCTGTTGCATTCATCACCAAGATCGTGACCAGCGCCGAGTTGGAATGCAACGCATCCAAGAGGTTTGGCAAAGCGTCTTGCGCGCCGAGGCTTGGGAATCGGATGAAACGCTTCCCCCAGCAATCAAAAAGGCACTCCGTCAGTTGATGAGCGACCTAGCTTGGAACAAAGCCCAGCTAGCCCGTGAGATTTATGAAAGCTGCCGGCGGGAAAACTGGGCATTCGACTCGGATGAGCTGCGTGAATTCTCCTTCCTGGTGTTTGCGACTCCAGCAAACACCAAATTTTATTTAGAAGATTGCTTTGCTCATCTGGCGGACATCACCAAGCGCTTCGCCCGCCACCACAAGCTCACAAAGCACCCTGGGTACCTATATACCATAAGCCCTTAAGCCCTGAACCCTAGACCGAATTTCCATCATCTAACCAGCTAGTCTGTGGCTCTACATGTGTTGCAGGACACCACCTCACTTTTTGTTGGACACAGCCAACCGGATTTAGTAATTTATCACTGCACTGCATAGTCAACCAAGATGGCTCAAGTATTTCTACATGAACACTGTCCCGTCTCACGACGACCTGGAGTGGGACAAGTTGGAGCCAAGCTACCGTGATTTCCTTGGTGCGATCAATCGACGTGCTAAATTGTGCCGGGCAGCTTGTGCGCAGGACATGGCATCCAACAGCCGGGTGTTCTCGATGACAGAGAAGTTCACCTTGCCACAGGCCCTGAATTTCACACCCTCGAACCTGAAGAAGACTGAAAAGAACGCCGGCCCACACAGCAACCAGGTTATGACGGCGGCAACTGCTTTCCTCATGAACATCAGACAGCCCACTGATGGAATAGAAAAAGCATGGGCAGGCATGCTTTGGGGGCTTTAGGAACTTGACTTAAGGTTTCAGGGAGTAGCCTGTTGGATTTCAGGGCTTGGGCTAGATGTAAGCATAAGGCTTTTAGTTTTGGGGTTGATTCTTGTCTTAGCTCGCCAGCTAACCTGACTCAGCACAAATAAATACTGTCAGATCGGCGTGTACAACTGCTTAACCCGTATGCTAATCCCTTCCAGGTGTGTTCCTGCAGAAAGGCTTCGTGTTTGAAAAGGTGGGCCAAGGCCTTCATTGCCTGTCGCTGGGATTCCGAAAATGGGCCGCTCTCGGCGTCCCCATGATGAAGCTACGTGATGGGGACAAGGTTGGCGTGCAAACAGGTATTGTTTTGTTACTTTTGCGAGGGGTGTTATTTTCGTTAGCCGCTTGCAAACGACGAGGAGTACTTGGCCCTGGATCCCAGGGCATCCGAGCCAGTTTGGATGGTGAGCACGGAATTCCAAGGGGAGACAGAGTGGCAGCGAATCCCAACTCAGTTGTTGCTTCCCTGCTTTGTACCCCCGACCATCAGCCGGCTGGGATCTGTCTGGGAAGTCACCGGAGGTCGCCAGCCGTTGTTGAAATCAGCGGTGCGAGAAGGCTGTCAACTCGACAATTCCCAGCTCCAGCAACTTCATGAGATTCTCAAACTACCTTTGCCCGCAAAGGGCCAAGGCTCCGGAAAGACAGGCAACATTGTGAAAGTCGACGTTGCCCGAGCACTGATACAACACCTATTTCCTGAAGCAGAGTGCCCCGACATCTCCGAGAAGGATCGGCAGCTTATGCTAGATTCGATCATGGGAGGCACAGGCTACAAGAAGCAGTCGGTACGGTGCCCGGACGACGTCCTCCAGGCAATTCAGAATCTGGGCGACGATGCAGAGCAGGACTTCAAGTTTGTGCGCGATGTCGCATTGAACCAGAAGCACATGGAGGCTCAGGTCAAGAAAGATGCTGAGAAGTCCGCAAAGCGGGCTCCGGCTGAGGCCGAAGATGCGTACACGAGGCGCACCTACACTCCGGATGAGATCAAGCAGTTGCTCCCACCTCGTGCGTGGTGCAACCGACAGCCGGTTCTCAAACGATATCAAGCCGGTTTCCCAGGCCACCGAGCTTCTCAAACTTCTGACTAAAGCTTGAAACTTCCAAAATACGAAGCCTTAATGTAAACCTTGGTTCAGGGCTTGCTTGGGGTTCGGGATTAAGAATATATTTGGGAGTCTGGGGTTTGTTCGGCTCACGTCGCCTCCAAATATCCCTCCCCCCAATCCCAGCAAACGCAGCCGACCATAGGCGAGGATCCATTGGGTGGCCCATCGAGCAAGACGGTGACGTGGGAGGGCCCCGTGCGGTGCCTGACAGAGGCAGCCGCACTCGGCGAAGTTCTGGATTGGGCTTGGGCTCGGCACATGCTAGACGATCCGTCGGCTGGTGATGCTGGGAGGTGGGGTGTTTTCAGGCTTTATTAAGCTAACGATGGGGTCATTGTTGTTACCAGAAATGCAGCTTGGAATCATTTTTTTGGTGTGTGCCTTCCATTGCCTCAGGCCTACGGAACGACAAATCGAGCTCGTTGTCAGAAACTTCACGGGCTCAACAGGTCTGCTTGGTACAGCTTCAGCGGCCTCGTCCGCGTCTGCTCAGCCAAAGGCTGCGCCGGCGTCACGTGGCAGAGGCTCAGGCAAGGGTCCCAAGGCTGAGGCCAAGTCAAAGACTCTGGCCAAACCGAAACCGAAGCGTGGCAGAGCAGCAGGAAGAGGCAAGTCGTGATATCGAAATAGTTGTTTGCGGGGAGAGGTTAATCATGATCACGAGTAAATGGTAAAACCTCACACCAGCTTTTTGTTGCTTGGACGGCGCTGTTCGGCTCTGTCTCTCGCTAGCAACCGTCGCTGTCGCTTTGGTGTTTCACTGATTTCACTATCGCAGTTGTCAGACACAACAGGATGCAAAATCGTCTTGAGCAAGATCAGTGGATTGTAGCATTCATCGAACCTCATAGACCAGCGCTCCGGCTACGAGGGACTCATAAGGACTAATAGGGACTAATAGGGACTAATAGGGACTAATAGGGTCTAATAGTCCCTAATAGTCTGGGGGGGCCCTGATTGGGGGGGCTGTCTCAACACATATGACTAAATCCTAAACCCTCAACCCTAAAACCCTAAAACCCTAAACCCTAAACCCTCCACCCTAAAACCCTAAACCCCTAAACCCCAAACCCTCAACCCCCTAAACCCTAAACCCCCTAAACCCTAAAACCCTAAACCCTAAATCCTCAACCCCCAACCCCCAACCCTAAAAACCTAAAACCCTAAACCCCAAACCCACCTCTTCTTGAAGGAAACCAGTGGGTTCCTTTTAATGCTTCAGGGTTCTGAGGGTTTAGGATCCTTAAAACACGATCCTGGAAGGTTTTTTTAGAGGGTTCCGTAAAGATCTATAGATGTTCGGGTCTAAGCAGGAGATCGTGAGACTTTGTGGCTAGGGTGATTTTGGACATCAGGCTTCCTACAAGGCTTTGATAGAAAGGGCTCTATGAGGGTTTTGGAGGATATAGGGACGTAGCATGTAAGAGGTGACAAGTGTACCGTAGGGTTTAGGGTTTAGGGGTTATAAGTACTCATGACAATAGGCACCTCATTTACCCGAAACCCCTAAACCCTAAACCCTAAACCGTGAACCCTGAACCCTGAACCCTGAACCCTGAACCCTGAACCCTCGTCCTAGTGACGAAGTCCCATGACCTGATCCACCTATCATTTGTTCAGGCTCCTGCCAGAGCCAGACCTCTGCAGGGTCCCTGTAAAGTATATACTGGGGAGGGTTTAGGGTTTGGGGGGTTTAGGGTTTAGGGGTTTAGGGTCTAGGGTTTTGGGTTTAGGGAGAAAGGTAGATAAAGTTTTTCTGGTTCAGGCTTTGCTGAAAACTAGGATATGGTGTGTTCTGACCCCCAGCAGGGCATGATCATTCAGTACAGCTTCTTGCCTCCTAAACCGTGCCGAGGTGTTGCGAGAGATGGAACAAATTCTTGTTCCTTCCTCCCTGAACCCAACACCCGAAACCCTGAACCCCAAACCTTGAACTCTAAACCCTAAACTGGCATGGCAACTCCTGCCTCTGTTTCAGAAGGACCAAGGCCCCCGTTAAGTCCCATGATCCTTCATGGTTTAGGGTTTAGGGTTTAGGGTTTAGGGTTTAGGGTTTAGGGTTTAGGGGTTTAGGGTTTAGGGTTTAGGGTACAGATAGGGTATGTAGTACGTGTAGAAGGATCCCAGGGTGAAGGGCCCATACTAGGGGACCATGGTTTCAACATTTAGGGTGTAGGGTTTAGGGTTTAGGGTTTGGGGTTTAGGGTTTAGGGTTTAGGGTTTTAGACAGCAGCTTCCTGAAGGATGCTTTGGTGCGATTCTTGGGCTGGGCTTTGAAGGCGCGTCGGAAAGGGACATGGGATGTGTGGCTGCAGGAGTGTTTGGGCATCAGGGATTAGCGCCGATATAGGGGTCGGAATGATTAGTGTGAGTATTCTCTTACGGTCCCGTGATAATTATAGTACAATACATCCTTAATCAAACCCTATTCTAAGGGAGGGCCCGTATATTATTCCGAAAGGGGCCAGGTTTGAGAATGGTCAGGGAAACTTGTAGAAGGAAGAGTTTGCCCCCTCGCAGCAGTTTGTGGCAACTACTGCAGGGGCCTAAATAAGCACCAATACTATTTTTTTGGGGGGGGTCCTTACTGTAATTATAGTATGATGGGCCCCAAACACTATTCTAATTATTAAGGCCCCTATATTACCTGCATAACTATACTAAAGAAGATCCCCGAACCCCATGTTAATCTCTAAGGCCCCTATATTAAGAGCATGCAGTCTTTTTTCATGGTAGCGACAGGTTGACACAGAGAAAGCCTTCCCCAAGCTCCAGAGCCCTGACTGTCCCACTAAACCCTAAACCCTAAACCCTAAACCCTTCCACTCCTCGGTCTCCCATGCGCAAACCCTAAACTGAACCCTCATGTAGGGGCCTAAGTAATTAGCGGGTTTAGGGTTTAGGGGTTTAGGGTTTAGGGTTTAGGGTAATAATAATAATAAGATGGGCCCCAAAATCCGATTCTGAGTATTAAGGATTGCAAGCCCTAAGCTACGCCCAAACCCCGGATGAATGCCAGGTTCCCGGCTTTCACTATGTCCTGGACCTGCCAGGCGTTGGCCGCGTGATCAGCTCAGGGGCAGTGTTGAGAGTGGGAGCGAGTTTTGCCAGTGTACAAATTGCCGTGGCCATATTCTTCAGGCCCCTACGTTAAATCCTATTTCGCGCCAATTCTCAAACCCAATACTTGGAACGGTATAGAACCGTGGTGGCTAAGATAGATTACGAATACGATTGCATAATTATACCCCTCAACCCGATTCAGAACATGAAGGCCCCAATATTATGAAGCCCCCCCTAGCCCCTAATGCTGAAACCCTCAACCCTAATCCGTGAACCATCCCAAAAACCCTGAACCCCCAACGCTACCCTAAACCCTAAACCCTATAACCCCTAAACATCACTTCATAGCCTCCAGAGGCCTTGTCTTGGCTAGCTCCGCGCCTTCCGCGGCGGCGAGCTTCCGCCGCTAGCTGGGAGATCCCCGAGAAGGCAGGCCCACATAACCTAGACTCCAGAAACCCGAAACCCTAAACCCTAAACCCTAAACCCTAAACCCCTAAACCCTAAACCCCTAAACCCTTAAACCCTACGGATGGCTATAAGGGTTCCTTGAGGGATTTTATAGGGTTTAAGGGTTTAGGGGATAAGGGTTCTATAAGGATTTTACAGGGTTTAGGGCTTATGGGTGTAAGGGCCCGTGTACCTGCATGGAATACTTTTCTTGGGGGACCTGTTCCTTCAAGGAACCATTCTGAAAAAAACCAGTCTATACTTTAATACCATGTTTGGGGACCGGTTCCTCAAAGGAACCATTATGAAATTTTGGGGACCTGATGCAATAACAGTCTATACTTCCATACTTTTTCGGGGGACCTGATCCTTAAAGGATCCAGAAATAAACGTCTATAGTTTTCTCCCTGGTTACTTCAAAGCCCATGCACTACGGCGGACTCGCTCTTGGTTCGTTGCTCTGGACGAGACTTACTGGAGGGAGAGTTACGAACAAGTGTCTGGCCTTCTCAAGTCAGAGGCAGGGCTCCCAGTGGTCGTCGGAGGCGGCTTCCATGAGAATGCCGAGCATTGCTTTGCCGAGCTGCCCGCCGACAACCTTCGTGATCTTCCACAGAGCAAGCTCGCCAAGATGACCGTGCATGCAATCGTGGGCCGAAGCGACGGCCACAAGGAGACCTGGGACGTCTCCATGACTCCGATGCTCCCTGGATCTTCCTCCACGGGTGACAAGGCTAGCCTGTTCGTGAGAGTGCTGGGCCAAACTCTTCAAGCCCTAACAGAGGCAGCTGGTGTCCCTCCCTTCGGGTTCGCCCTCGACGGGGGTAGCTCGAACTACCTCGCCAGGAAACTGGCCATGGGGTTGGAACCTCTCGATCAACATGCCAGGCAGCCTTTCTTCCGAGACTGTGTTCATGAACCTGTTCGGCTAAAACCCTTCTTCCCCTTCAGCCGCTTAGTGCACCAGCCAAGTGGCGAGACGATCTTGGCATCCTTGGATGCCTTGCATGTGGCCAAGCGATTTTCGTGTCATTATTGTTGCGTTCAGAGTTCCTTGATAAGAGCTTCTGGAGTCTACCCACAGGCTTTTGTTTAAGGTTTAGGGTTCAGTGGTTTATACGTAGAATCCTATAAGATGAGGAAATCCCAAAGTGGAACTAACATGGAGCCTATGCGTAGTCTGGGTGTCGAAATATTCTGATCCTGTACGGGCCGCTTCAAAGGATCCAAGAGGGTTCTATAAACAAGGGGCTTTCAGGACAAACAGTGGCCTTCATAATGAGAATAGGGTTTTTGGGGGATGCCTAAACCCTAAACCCTAAACACAAAACCCTAGTCTTACAGTATGGGATCCTTAGAGCAGTTTTAGTAACTATTCAGGCTGCCAGGGAGACACTCCAAGAAGGCCC